ATTAGTTGTAATATTTATAGAGTTAGACATATAATACATAATATAAAATGTTTTAAATATCAAGTTTATTTTAGTTTTATACATTTTTTTTTTCTCTAGGAAAAAAATGGTATATAGGTAATGAAAAGCTAATTTCATATTTCTATGGAGATTTTCATTACGACATAAATATCAAATTTATTTTGTTTTACTGCTGCTAGGCTACGTTTTTTTTTTTTTTTTTTTTTTTGTTTTCATGTTATCTACAGCTGATTTTCTGCTAAGGTGCTTTGCGATGGCTGGTTGCTTGGGCTGGGAAATATCAGGTTTGTGTATAGTGTCACGGGATGGGAGTTTCACACCCAAAAGGCTAATCTATTAGGTGGAGGGACTCCCCCCATTTATAAGCCCAAGACTTCCTCAATACGCTTCCAATATGGGATTTGTAACAATAGGCACCCTTGCCTCTTTTGTTTTGGCTGCAGGCTGTGTTATAAAGGATTATACATCCTAGCCTTTTGTATCTTTTAGTGCTTCTTCGCCTCGTGTGTTTTCGTGGGTGAGTCGCAATGCTGGAGGCATTATCTCCGTTTAAGTATAATTCATTATTCTTCATACATTTTTTTACGTAGTAATATAATCCAAGCATGCTAATTTTTAAGAATTTAACATTTTTTTTTTTTTGTAACTATATGGCTTGAATATTATATTTGGATTTTTTTTTTTTAAAAAAAAAAAAGGTAGACGTCATGTTGATGTAAGTATTAAGTAACTTTCTAGAATAAAGAAGTGTGTAGCATGTGAGGTAGTAAATCAAGCGAAAGCACATGCAATTGAAGAAAAATAATTTCCTTTGTTCTAATTTCTATAAGACTACTGTAGAAACACTAGAGTACATTTCTTTGGATGCTGGTAAGGTCACCTTTACCTTCCTCTTTTCATGAAAATTTAACTTCAAATCTGCATTGGATTTTCAAAATTCATCACAGACAGGTTGTAATGTACGTTCTCTTTTCTTTTCCTAATTTTCTGTCAAAGTAACGTGTTAAAGTTCGTTATAATCATGAGACTTTGAAAATTTATATAGAAACCAACCATGTTTTTGGTTTTCTATACATGTTAAACGTGTATGAAGGAATAATGATTTAATTGATAAAAAAACTCGAAAACGACTCACAGAGAACATATAGTTGAAGACATTCTCATTATAAGTGAGAAACTCCCTGTGGTTTATAATCATAATCTACAGGATTTTTATTTTAAAGCCTGTAAAAGCCAAAATTTTGATTTGCTTCACATTTATAGCAGCATATTCATCATCATATAAAATAATGAAATTTTGGAATTTTGTTTTTAGCAGATGATAAGTGAATGATTCAGAAATCCCATAATGAGAGACATTATATTATAGACAACCGCAAAAATATGATCCATTCATAGTTTATGTTATAAAATACAATCAAAGATTCAAAGATTTGGATTAATTGCTTTTCCAAACATTAATAATTCTACTTCTTAAAGATGCATTAATTTGTTTGTGAATAAAATAATCTAGCTATGATATGAAAAATGTACTTCGCAATGAGAACTCCTTATTTTCTAATGGTACTTCTCTTAGCTCTGGTAATGGAACATTTCCACCCATCTGTTATTCATACTAGTTACATACAACTACTATAAATATTTATAAGCTGAGAACGCGAGGTCCTCAATTTATTAGCCACGGTCCCAAAATGCTTTTAGATCCGAGGTCCCACTTTATGAGTCTTGGTCCCAAATGCTTTTAGCTAATGCGCCGTGACAAGACTTCACTAAGAGGCGAGATCCTCTAACCTTTGGTTCCTTCAATTAAGTAAACGTGCTTTGAGTAAGAGAATATCACATGAAGTCCTAAAGCAAATTTATGTGAGTTTGATAAATTCAAACAAAATCTACTTAAGTAGGTTAATTGGTATTTGAATAGGAATCAGTGTATTTGCCTCTCATATTTTATATACTAGTAGTTTCTAGTATTTGGTGAAAAATATAGAAGACATGTACAACATGTAAAAAACTATCACTAGATCGTTTGATGGTAAAAGAGCAAAGGAGAATTTAAGTTTACATGGTCTTTCGAGTTTGAGTCTCTACAATCTCTAATAAGATGGCCACTGGAGTTTATATCCAGCCGATAGTTTCAGAGTCCTGAGAGATTAGTTGAAGTACGTACAAACTGACACAGACACTCCCGATCATTAAAAAAAAAAAAAATGTACAGCATGCAAAAATATAATACTTTCACCCAAACAAAAAAGGTAAGTGAATAGAACATATTATGCATAAGTAGACTTTGAAATTTATAAAATATTAATTTGTATATAATTTATTTGTATGGTTTGGATGTGAAATATTACTTGGGTTATATTGTATATGTATATATTGACATCTTTCATTGCAAAAACCTGAAAATATTTAACACTCTTATGTTCTATTGTTCTCTTCTTTTACTTGGACTCCGTTATAGCATCTTAATTTCTTCTTAGGCCTACCCCATTTCAGCCCATCTCTTAGAGGCTCAGTTTACCAAAATGCTTAGCTACTGCTCGTGTGTACATTACTCCAAGTTTCAGGCAATGCATCAACGATTGGGTTAGAGTGGTGTATCAATAGGTGAAGACTCCTTTATTATCACAAAAAAGGAGGAATTTCATTAGGAGTTAGAAAAGAGTTTTGGTGGACCGTAATCAATGTTTAATGAGTCCACATAGGCTCCATAGGATTATAAGTTTTATGGGCTTTGTTCCATAAAACAAGAGGACGAGGTAACCTGGACAAAGATGGTCTGGACCTATATACATTCATAAGCCCAACCAAAAGTGCAAGTCAAGAATTTCTAATTGAGTAATAGTAAACATAATATAATTAATTAATTAATGATATATGTATTAATGTATCTAATTTATCACAACTTTTTATTGGTTTTAATGATGAAAAAAGTGAATATAATGGTAGATCATATGTCATCTTTTAGATACTTCCACTATAAATTACCAAAAATATTAATTCATTTTATATGACATATAATAAAATCAAATCTTGTGACACATAATTTCTCCTTTTAACACTAACATGAATTAAAAAAATTCAGCATAAAGTTGGTAAGGGATGAATCTTTATATAGATCTTTTTAATTTTTATATTTGTAATAATGTTACACATTTAACTTTTGTTGTTTACCTACTACTATGCTCTTTTGATTGTTTCCATATTACCCCATGTACTTTAATATTGTGTTTAATTAATACTATATAAGCTTAGGTGCCTTCTGCTATGCGATTAATTAAAAAAATGAAATTAAATAGGTGATCAATCACATCACATGGATCATACTAGTAGATGTACAACTAATTGATTTGGTTTTCCCGGATGTGAAACAACAATTGGCATTACTTTCTTGAAGAAATTGGAAAAAAATAAAATAAAAAAAGATTTTATGGTGTCAATTTTGGGTTATTTGTTTGTGTGAGAAAGAATTTTAAAATATTGATATCTTGGTTTCAAAGATGATCGAAAACTTTTGGAATCTATGATACTAAAGAGATTCACCAACAAACATGGATTACTTATTTATTAAATAATCACTCAAAATGTGTTTGGTAAACATATTTCAAGAGTGACTATAAAAATAATCTACTTCTTTTATAATCTATTTTATTAAATGAATCCAAAAGCGTGTATATTTTTAGTTTTTAGATTTTAAAGTCAGCTTTTAGAAGATTCAATTACCAAAATGCCCCAAGATTACACATGAATTCTATCTTTTTATGAATAAATTTTATTCATAAAAAATACTAAAATATTAAAATATGAATTAAATTAAAAAATCTGAAAAATTTGCCGATGGTGTCATCGTTCGATAAGCAATTGTTGCTAGAAGTTGTGCTTGACGACACCGTCGACACTATCAAGATTGCCAAGAGGAGATGTACACAACTATATCGGAATATCAATCGTCAAACACATCTTTTGTGCATAAGAAACCGACAAAGTTTAACCGAAACTTTTAAAAAATTATAAGCAATCCTAAATTAAGCATAAGTGAATGAAGATCATCCCAAGTGAAGACAAAACATATTCTTTAGAAAAAGAAACAAGTAAGAAGAGGAAGTTGGCCAACCAAAGAAAAGCTCAACACAAACAAACGTGTACTGGTGTATATATCTTTTAGCCTAACAAAAATTAATTAAATAAATAAAATTTGTTGTCCCAAAGTTTTTATATCAATTAAATAAATAAATATATTTATATGATCACAAGTTCTCGTTAAATGGGTATATTATTCTTTAAAATAACATAAACAAATGGTATGTACAACTTCCTAGGCAAGTTATTTTGTCTAAATAAATAAAAGATGTTAGTGAATGTATTGTATTGATGACAACAAAAGGTATGAACTGCAATTATACTCAGTGATGGGGCTGAAGGCTCATCAGAAAGCAACAAGATGGCCTTTTCTTCAAGAAACAGACAAGAGGCAAAATCTTTTGAAACTGAGACAGCCAAGGCTTTCAGGAATCCCAATGGATTTTTATTTAATTGCCTCCAGTTGTATTCAACAAAGATGGTTTAAACGTTTAAATTGATCTCAATGAATTATTATTGGAAAATGGGGTCTCTACGAACTCTTCTCAAGATGGCTTCTTCCAATTCGACAGTTTCAGCATTCCAATAATATCATAGATTCATCCATTATACTGTAATCTAAAGTTTAAAAAGATTTGGGCAAATTAATTTGACCTCAATGCAGTTGTTTAGCGGCAAAAACCCAAATGGTTACTTTAAAATTGAATTTTAAAAGGCATGAAGATTCCCTGTACAAAGGCTTAACTTTATAACTAGGCTCCATTATTTGACTAAAAGCAATGAAACAATAGCATGCTGAATTAATGCCGTCCATGATATGCATAATTAACACAATTAACCCATGGAAAGTATAATCACTTTTTGATCTATGATGAACAAGATAAACAAATGAAGGGTTTTGTCATCCGGGATACATATATTTGTAAAGTCTTCAACAAAAAAGCAGGGGATTTATATGAAATATGTGATTCCAGCAAAAAAAAAAAAAAAAAAAAGAAAGGGAAAATTCGGAAAGGAAAAGAATCTCTTGCTCCCAAACTTCCAAAAAAGAGAATAGCTATACATGGATATACCCATAACCCATTCTAATAAAGATCTCATGCATTTGAACCGCAGTACCTAGAGATCATTAAAGCTTAAGCATGCATATTACTAACTTACAAAGTGGTAAAGCCTGCCCCATTCCCAATACAAAGACTGCAAAATCCATGGAGTATACATTAATTCTCCATTTTTTTTTTCAATTGGCTTGATCACAGCTAAACCCTAAGCAAGTACACACTGAGTTCAGGACCTCCACTACAATCAGGATTCATCATGTAAAAGGCCTCTGAATCTTTAGAACCCACAACCCTCTCAAACCTGGCTCTCATGTACATGAGTTCACCTTCGGACCCGCCTCCATTCCCCTCTCCTGCTGGCAACACACCAGCACCCATTGAAATTGGTTCCACAGCTTTCAAAATCTTCCATTCTTCAGGCCCACATTCACGTTTCATTGCGTACCCACATTTCTTGCCATTGCAATAAGTCCTCCAGAGAGGCTCCTCTAGCAGCTTTACACCTTTCTTTTCGGTTTTCTTTTCACACTCCAGGGCGATCCTGACAAGTCCTGAAGCCATTTCTCGGACCAAAACACTTGTTGGTGTTGCGAGTTCTATCAAGAAGGCTGGATTTAGCTTGGCATCTTCTTGAAATGCAAAATGAACATGACCACGTCGATACCCGAAAAGGGTAACTATTACTCGACTGCCTAAACCTGAATGATAAGACGACCGGCTCTTACCAAATATAGTAAGTGCTGATCGGAGCTTAGAAACTGCAGCAACTGGGAACTTCTTCCTCCGAGCTGGCAGCTCCGTTATTTGAGTGGGAACTGATATTGTAAGCTCCTCTTCTTTTTCCTCCTCACGGGAGTTGGTTAAGATTTCTTCCATATCATCTTCATCTTCAACTTTCTTTCTCCAGTTGAAGTATCTCCTGGAGAATGAGAAAGAAGAGTCATGAGGGGTTTTGGCCATGATTGTCTTCATTTGTGACAGCAAAAGACTCAAAGAAAGTTGAAGTCTGGAGAGACTTGTGAGACTTGAAGAGAGAAGAAATCAATTAGTTAAGATGAAAAAGAAAGAGAGATTGATTACGTTTATTTCTTGTATGTAGTGGTTATGTAGGGTGGATTTATTCTTGGTTGTGTATATTTTTGTCAGCCCTGTCCCTGTGGGACTAAAGGGACTTGTAAAAGAATCCTGACAAAAGGAAGGTGAACAGCCCCACCTAACTGAGCACCAGGAATTAAACAAAAGAATTGGAGAAGGAGCTTAAAGACAAGAAAGGGCGATGGAAAATAGACAAGAGAGGTGATATAAAACAGTAGTGGAATCTGGGGAGACAATAGCCTTGTGTTGTTTCTTTATNAAAAGAATCCTGACAAAAGGAAGGTGAACAGCCCCACCTAACTGAGCACCAGGAATTAAACAAAAGAATTGGAGAAGGAGCTTAAAGACAAGAAAGGGCGATGGAAAATAGACAAGAGAGGTGATATAAAACAGTAGTGGAATCTGGGGAGACAATAGCCTTGTGTTGTTTCTTTATCAATGTGTGGGGCTGAAGCTGAAAATAAGGACCCTGTGGGGTAGAAAAAAAGAAGAAAAGTTTGACTGATTAGTCTGACTAGCTTTGGAAACAGTTAAGAGCAGGTAAAGCCACACCAACCGTACCCACCACAATGGCACAAACACTGCCTTTGAGTCCTTTCATGCTCCCTCACCACTCACCGATGCAGATCATTGCACATATACCACTGAGCCAACATTAGCCACCATAGTGTTTTGTATTCTGATTTCATAATTCTCATGTCTGTTAAGTTTATTATAATTATTATTATCTCTTTGGGTGGAGAGAATGATTAGCTACCTAACTATTTTGCAGCTTATATGAACTGCAAATGATTTCTCACTTGTGGGTAAATTACTAAATTATGGAGAAGGTTCCGATTCCAGAGCTCTATAATTTTAATCCAGGCAACAATATACCAGTTTAAGGGCTATGATTCTTTTTATTAAACAAGAAAAAGATACTGAGGGCCGTCATTTTTTCTTTTTGAATGCAAACTGTGCAGGAAAAAGAAAATCAACCGCAGTCTCAACTTTGAATCTTGAAACTTACATTCTGTAAAATAAAAATTTGTAAATTATTGGGCTTTATAAGGGCTTTAAGTACTTTTAAGCAGAACTAACAAAAGTCGTCCACGAAGTACAGGGTAAGTCATAATTGAGATGAGATGGCAACAGTGAAAGCTAGCAGCAAAGGTCAAAAGTGAAGTAATCATATCACCGCTGCAATCATCGAGCCAATAAACAACTTCTTCTTTCACAAGAATGTGAAAAATAGGGCCGCTTCTATAAATATCTGGTCATATGTTAAACCATTTTATAATGTATATCAAGATCCCAAGGTTAAAAGCAAGGACCCCGTGAAGGTTTTGCATGTGCTCCACATGTCTTCCTCACTTTAATCCTTGTGGAGTCAAATCTTGTTGAAATTTGAGGTATTAGTTGTTTTGTACTACCATCATAAGTTCCATCAATATACTGGTTCTAATGCTTTTAATTCTGAGATTATTTTAAGTTTCTTTGTTCAATAATCTAATAGAGACCGACCAGACCAAACCCGCGGATCAACAACCATGATCAATAACCAACGACTTGAACCACAAGAGATTTAGACTTGGAAGATGTATTACTAACTAGATATAAAATTTTAAGGGGAAAGAGACAAAGGAATATATATGAATAAAAGAAAGTCAAAAAAATGAACACCAGCTCATGAAGAAAATTACAGAAATATTAAACAAAAGGCAAGGAGCTTATGGCTTGTATTGAAGTGTCTTCCACAAACGACTTTCAAGGTATAATAGCTTTATTTAATGTCCAGTTGTAAGAAGAAATAGAAATTTAAATACAAATTAGACAAATGCATCAGGAAGAACTGGTCAGCAATTATCCGAAGCAAACAATTACCTACTTAAACGTTAAAAATTAAATTTCAGCATAAGCACCGTTAGATAAAGTGATTTTAAGGTTAAGTTGATAAGCTTTTGATCAACCATATCAGTAAGTCACCTAATAAGTAACTGTATATCCAAGTGTTAAATAATGGTAAAGCAATCCTCAGCAAAGTTTTATGTCTGTGATGCAAGGAATAGTTGGATATGTCAGCATCGAATGTAAATTGCAGGAAAATTTATGTGATTGGGACCAAAGCCATTGTATGTTGTAACTATGCCGATTGCCAATAAGCAAACATTTTACTGGGAGTGGTTGATTCAATTTTCAGGACTTGGAAATAGTGCCTATTAACTTGAAGCTATTTGTCCCTACGCCATCCCTATCTGTAGGAGTACTCCTGAGCTAGTAGTCCCGCACTAACGCTGGTTATAAGAGTATCCTGAAAGCTTTTATTAGAGTTTGGCACTGCTGGTTATAGGACTGCTCCCTGGACCAATTCTGGGTACAGCCGCAGAAGTGCGGAGTATCCTATAGCTTCTAAGCATCTCTTTGCCTGAGAAGCTGCCCGCAGACTCTTATCCGCCTTTTCCGGGATTGGTGCTGACTGCTTCTGCATTTATGCCCACCAATGTTTAACTCTACTGTCTACTGTAGTTTTAGGTTGGACTTGGAGTAACCATAACTTACCCTACTAAGTGCATTATGATTCATAAGACCGCCTTATACTGTTCAGCTCCATCTATAACCTTTCTTGTAATGCTTTTAACTTATGTTTTAAACTTAAGATTATACAAGTTGATGTGCTAACATCATTCAAACAAATGTACAAAAATTACTTTAATTCACTCTTAGATCATATACCATTTATGAACCAACACAATTTTATGGGATTAATGGTAATTAAACCAACAGCAAATAACATTGAAAAAACAAAAACGAAAGGTTTTCTCTTCCATCCAAACTAATACATTTTATGTTCTACATATCAGTTTAAAGCAATTCTAAATTTAACAACACATAAATCTGATGGGTATCTATTAAGTATTAACACGTCAATTATTTTGTCCATCTCTTGTTTAGTTGTTTATGAGGGTGATGTTAAAACTTAAAAGGTTAATCTTTTTAGAATATACCCTTTTGAATTACCAAAATTAATTTCTAACGTACAGGTTTGGACTTCAGCCTTGATACAACACTTTAGGGCTCAAGGGCCTAATTGGCTTAGGCCTAAAGTAAGGACTTGGGCTTTGTCCCCTTACTATAAGGAAACGCAGCGTTTCTTTAAGCCGAAAAACACAGACGCATTCAAATGGAAGCAGAAGCCCCCAGCAGCAGCTCACCACCAGGGCAGCGCCGCCAGATGTGCGGCAACTGCGAGCGTCCAATCGCAGCTTGTCTCTGCCACATCATCCCCATCCCACCCATGACCACCACCACCACAAAATTAATGATCATCCACCACCCACACGAGTCCCACCACAAACTCAACACTGCACGTCTCTTAACTAAGTCCCTCCGCCACGTCACCACCCATCTCTCACGCAAACTCCTCCCTTCTCACATCACCAACCAGTCCAATTCCCCTTCCCCTTCTCCCACCACCACTATCTACCTATTCCCGCCATCCCCTGGCTCGCCTGCCGTCTCTCTATCGGAGCTCAAAGAGTCAATAAATTTGCAAGGGGATAACCGAAATTTACTTTTAATCGTGTTTGATGCCACGTGGAAGCATGCGAAGGAGATGGTGAAGGCGAGTGAAGGGGTTTTGGAGGGTTTAGGAGCGATAAGGGTGTGTTTGGATGTGGATGAGAGTTTAAAAGGTGGGAGTATTTATGATGATGAGTTAGTGTTGAGGAAAGAGCCTTATAAAGGTTGTGTGAGTACGTTGGAGGCGGTGGCTAGGTGTTTGAGAGTGGTGGAAGATGAAGGGGAGGAGATTGAGAGGGTTTTGATTGGGGTTTTGAGAGAGATGGTTAGGTTGCAGGCTGGGTTTTTGAAGCCTGTTAAACCAAGGTCCAAGTTGTTGAAAAAGAGTAAACAGAATGAATTGCAATAGTTTTATGTATTTGTGTTGTTTTCTTTCAGAATTTTGAATCACTCGCCCTGTTGTCTGAATGAATGGCCTCGTATAATATGAAGATTTTTGATAGCTTGAACTAACAGTATTGGAATGTTTTCATAGCTGGACAATTTAATTGATTGAAACCATGCGACATAACTTCGGTTGCCACTGACACTGAGCCAAGAAAGTATTTTGATACCATAATTGACAGGTTATTGTGGCAAGACAGTGCAAGAAGACTCGATGTAATTGCTCTTTCTGATGGAAAAACGAGTGGGAAAAAAATGAAAATGGGTTAAGTTCAATGTTTAGGCAGTAAAATTGGAGATTGAATAAATTCGTTCACACAACAATGGTTATATACCGAGTCTTTCAATTCGAGAAAATGAGTATTTGATTGGATTTTTCACCCTTTTGACTGTCTGCCAGAGTAAATACAATCTGAACTGATAAGTATGAATGGGATCAAAGCAGCCAATTATTCAAAACAGTTATTTTTTAGCACACCATAATCAAGATACAATTAACATTAGGATAAACCATCAAACATATTGGAGGCACTAAATCACATAATCTAATCCCACATAAGAAAGTACCTAAAACTGGAATGTCCCCTCATCAAATCTACTCAGCCGGGAAGGGATTGAACCCACTTTGCACCATTTTCTCTAAAGGCCAAAACAGTGGATTAGGGAGATCTTCCCAGTTATACCAATCCCAACCATAACACTTGTCTGGTTCAAGAGTTTGGGGCACCTGTTGAGGATTATCCAACATTGCCCGCATAAAAATAGTTACATACTGTGCTGGTTTAGGTTCTTTAAAGATGGTGTTAGTTGCGGTTAAGAAGTCCGTTTTCTGGATATCCAACCCAGTTTCCTCTTTCAGTTCTCTCGCTGCACACTCCTCGAAGCTCTCTCCTGGAAATAATTCAGTGGAATAGTTAAGGTATCACTCCACTTGGTAAGAGATTTAAGGCGTAATGAATCTTGTACGCCTCAAAGCTATCAATGGATTCGATTTTAAGGTAGATTTGATTAAGTAAATTAATGGATAGAAAAATATGAATGATATTCGAGAGATTTCAACTCGAAACTATGGGACTACGAGATGTTGTCACATTACCAACCGCTTAACTAAACTTATACGATCAGCCATTAGAGTAAACCTTCATTATGAATTTAATTAATTCTAAAATCAACTCTAACCCTAAACATAAAACATTTTTTTGGGTAAATAACATTTGATGCTAAAAAAAAAAGGATTGAGAGAGAGACTAACCAAATTCGAGATGGCCGCCGGGAAGAGCATAGGTAGAGTCACCGATGGAGGAGCGGCGCCGCCCCAACAGCACTGTTTTCCCACGCAACACGAACACTGCTACGCCTACTCTCGGCACGTTCTCCATACTAAATCAACGAGACAACCCTCCCTGTCTTGGCTGATGCCTTCTTCCTTATTTTGAGGGGGAAGGTGTCGTTCTTTTGCTGTTGCTGGGGCCTTGAGCATTGACTGAATTAAATATTTTTTACGTGGCAAACAGCGTTGGAAGTTGCGGGCCTATTGGTAAAACTTAAAAGCATAGTGACAGCTAAGACACTTTTTTCTTTTCTTTTTCTTTTTTAAGCTCTAAAATTATTTTATTTTGGAGCTCTAAAATTGTCGTCTCTTGGATGTATGGTTTAATGAGATATTTTTAGCTTTAAGATTCATAAATACCCATGCTGATTGTTCGCTATGAATATCCATGCGAGTTGTTTGCCATATAGCACATTTTAAAAGCTCTAGAATTACTCTATTTTAACACATTGGATTGACAACCCAATCAAATTGCTCTATCTTGACACATTTGATTCGTATTTATTACTCCATCTATAATGATTAATTAATTAAAAAATGGGAACAATTTTAATTATATAAGTGCATTGCATTGACATTCTAAAGGTCTAACTATAATAACACCTTATATTTGTGATTGTCATGTGGTTGAATTTTATTGGTGATGATGTAGATAATATTAATTGCTGCATTGATATTCTAAAGTCTAAATAAATAGACATAAAGATTGGATTACATAGGTGCATTGCATTGTTGTATTAATAATTAATAATATTACTAATAGGGGGTGTTTGTCTGAGCTTATGAAAATTAGCTTATAAGCAACATGTGCTTATTTAGCTTATAAGCATTTAAAATTTTAAACAATTACGTGTTTGGTTAAAGTACTTATAAGTGACTAATAAGTAATTGACGTGTTTGGTAAAATGTGGCTTATAAGTACATTTTATTATAAAATGACTAAAAAAGGTACTACATTAAATAAGGGTATACTATGGAATTTTAAAATTAAACAAGAATAATGTGGTAATATACTTGGCCAAACTAGCTTATAAGCAGAGTGCTTATAAGCAAAAAAAAAAAAGTACCTCCCCCCCAACTTATTTTTTTTTTTGCTTATAAGCTCAACTTATAAGTTCAAAAAAATTATAAACAAACAAGTCAGCTTAATTTTAGAGCTTATAAGCTAGTTTGACCAGCTTATAAGCTTAGACAAACACCCCCTATATAGGTGCATTACATTGACATTGTAAAGGTCTAACAATAAAGACATCTTGGATTTGTGATTGTCATGTGATTGAATTTTATTGGTGATGATGTAGACAATATTAATTGTTGCATTGATATTCCAACGTCTAAATAAATAGACATAAAAATTGGATTACATAGGTGCATTGCATTGGTAATAAAAATATATATGTTTATTAATAATTATATATGTGCATTGTATTGACATGGCAAACCTTTCTTCGTATTCAATTTGTATTTAATTGTGTTGACATTCGAAATGTCTAAATAAAAGGGTTATAAAAGGGACGTATGTTCAGTTGTGTATTATTGCAATATGTTAGTTGGTGTCAACAATACGTTTGATCTTTTGTTAATTGTTTATAGGTCATGTTAGTTTGTGTCAATAATACGTCTGTTCTTTATGATTTTATTAATCGATGATTTTTATTTATTTGTATTTTTTTTTTTTTTTTACAAGTCAAAGATTCATGAATTGACATGGAATAAAAGCAGGGTGTCTGATTGACATTGTCAAATGAGTTGTTATTTTGATTCGTTCTTCTAAACTGTAAGCATATCTTCTAACTATTTTAATACGAAATTGTAAATATATCTCCTAACTATTTTAACGGTTATTATTTGATTGAATGATTGTTTTTGTTCGATCAATCTATTTGAATGATTAATTGTGTTAGTCTTGTCAAACGGTAAGTGTATTCCTTAACAATTTTAATATGAAGATTAATTAACTTTTGTTGATTTCGTTTTCAGGTAACAGTTGTTATACAAATGAATAATTGTTCCTTAACAAATCTTAATATGAAGATCGATTAAATTTTGTTATGTTTGTTTTCAAGGAAATATTCATGTACTTTACTAAGATCAAATCGATGATGATTCTATTGTTAGCCGAATTGTGAGTATGTGTCATATCTATATTAGTATAAACAATTCATTTGTGTTGAATATGTTTTCTGTAAAAACATTCGTGTATTTTAATTTGTTATATAAATGATTTATTGTTTATGTCTTGTTGGTGTGCGAGTATATATGTTAAATAAATTAATTTTGGCTGATTTCATTTTCCAATTAATAGGTGTTATTTGAAATATTTCTTCTAAGTCCTAATATGATAATCCCTTAAATTTGGGTTAAGTAAACCATTCATTTTATCATCACACGCGTTTCGGTTTTCACTGATCAATCAATAGTAAATTGATCATAACTTACTCAATAAAAATCCAATTGATAAGAGGATTGAATATTTAGAAACTAGATAGACATGACTTTATTTGATATATTATATACTTAATTTGGATAACTGTAGCCCCCACTGCCGAACCATTCATTTCATCATCACACACATTTCGGCTTCCACTGAACAGTCAGTAGTAAATTGACTATAACTTGCTCAATAAAAATACAATTGATGAGAAGTTTAAATCTTTACAAACTAGATAAACAAAGATTTAATTTGATATATTATATGCTTAATTTGGATAACTTTAGCCCCACTTTCAAACCATTACTTTTATCATCACACACATTTTGGTTTCTCCAGTTTCTTGATTTCTATTGAACAATCAGTAGTAAATTAACCATAACTTGCTCAATAAAAATCCAACCAATGAGCGGTTTAAATAATTAAAAACTAGACAGATAGGTCATTAATTTGATATATCATAAACTTAATTTGGATAATTGTAGATCCACTGACGAACCATTTCTTTTATCATCACATACATTTTGGTTTCCACTGAAGAGTCAGTAGTAATTTGACCATAACTTGCTCAATAAAACTCCAATTGATGAGAGATTTGAATCTTTAGAAACTAGACATACATAAACTTAATTTGATATATTACACGCTTAATTTGGATAACTTTAGTCCCACTGCCGAACCATTCTTTTTATCATCACACTTTGGTTTTCACTGAACAGTCAGTAGTAAGTTGACCATAACTTGCTCAATAAAACTCCAATTGATGAGAGATTTAAATCTTTAGAAACTAGATAAAGAGATTTAATTTGATATATTATACACTTAATTTGGATAAATGTAGCCCCACTTCCAAACTATTTGTTTTATCATCACAAATATTTTGGTTTCCCTTATTTCTCGATTTCTACTGAACAGTCAGTAATAAATTAGTCATAACTTACTCAATAAAAATTAAATTGATGAGAGGTTTGAACATTTAGAAACTAGACAGACAAAACTTTAATTTGATATATTATACGCTTAATTTGGATAATTGTAGCCCTACTGTCGAACCATTTCTTTTATCATCACACACATTTCAGTTTCCCCTGTTTCTCGATTTTCATTAAATAGTCAATTGTAAATTAGCCATAACCTGCTCAATAAAAATCCAATTGATGAGCGGTTTGAATCTTTGGAAACTGGAAAGATTGAGATTTAATTTGATATATTATATGATGAATTAGGATAACTATAGACCTACTGCCGAACCATTCATTTTATCATCACATACATAAAACAAATTCAATTTTAGTGATGACAAAGGAAAACGAATATTGATATGTAATTTTAATTGTGCTTGTTCTATCTCTTTTTGTTGATTTTTTGATTGATTTTGTTGTTTGATTTATAGTTTTACAATTATAGTCTTTCTTTAGGATGCTACCATCAAATGTTTTTTTTGCTATAGGTGGTGGTCAATTCTAATTGCAGCAAATGGATTTATGTCATAGGACATTTATCTTTATGACTTATTCAATGCTTCAATTAAGTTGACTTCACATTATACTGTTGGAGTTGTTATTGCTTTTTATGTGAGTTCTCTTCTCAACATTTTTTTTTTTAATTTATAAAATAATAATGATAAAAATAATTCATTTTTTCTTCTCAACAATCAAAATCAATTTTTTCCTTTTGCTCTACAAGCCTCTTGCTTAAAACTCATATTTTTCAATAAGGTTTCTCTTTCCTTGATTAATTTATAAACTTACCAATAATACCTAGTGGATTATCTTGCAATTTTTTTTTTTTTTTTTTTGCTTTTCTTGATAAAGTTTTAAACTTTGGTAGCAAATGTCAAATGGTAACATATTTGAGAAGAACCATGATGATATAAACTTTGAGTTCAATTTGTGAATATTTTATTTATTGATTTTGAATTATCAATTCAATATAAAATGAACTTCAATATAGAAAATATATATTTAAATCACAAAAAAACCAATAATAATGTAAAAAAAAAAAAATATAATAAACATATATGCACAACGCAACTTGAAAATGAATATAAGTTACAGAAATTACGGAAGGTCAATATAAATTTTGAGTTTAAATAGTTGATCTTAATAATATTCAGGTGATATTAAATATCATACATAATTCATTACAAAATACTGACATCGAATATAAAAGACATGTCTGCAAAAATAATATTAATTGTACAAGGTGATGATCCTGAATATATAATTAGATCATATGATATTTAGATGATCTTCTCAAGTTGGATGAATGATTTAATAACATCTACCTATAATTGATATTAATAATTATATAGATACAATTATGAATTTTATCTTAACACAACTTTGTATATATATACAATTTATATTTACTTTAAAATTTGCATAATTTAACACTTATTATGTCTTAATCTAATTAGTTTATTTTGTTAGAATAAATTTGTTTACAATCTATTTCAAAAACATTGAATAAACATACTCACGCAACGCGCGAGCCCCATGTCTAGTGGTTAGTTAATAAAGAGGTAAATTTATAATTATAAAACTAATTAAAACTAAAGAGATTGAATTAGGCACATAATCACCTATTTTTTTTAACTTTTCAAAATAGAGTAAACCACTTTTTCCCACCCAAGGTTTGCCTTAATAACACTTTTTCACAAAAAAGTTTCAAAATACCACTTTCTCACCCAAAGTTTATATTTCGTTAATACTCAAAATACACTTCACTTTCTCAGTTGGCAATCGATGAGTTACTAGGAGCCAGGGGTAAGAGAGGATTAGGCCGGCGGATCGAATAGTGGTGACCGATTGAATATTCGCCACAGGAATCAGTTGGAAATTAGTTAAGAATAGAAAAATCGTAGCTTTGCGATGGCAAGCAATCGGTGAGAAATCAAGTGTCAGAGTGAAAGGGGTTTTGTAAAGAGGATACGGGAGGTCCAAATGGTGGTGACGGAAATAATTTTCGTCACCGGAATTAGCTTTGGATATTAATAGAATATTAACTTTGGGTGGGAAAGTGTCATTAAGGAAAACCTTGGGAGGGAAAATGTCGCTTACTCTTTAAAATACATAGTAAGAACCACCATTGGGTGGTCGGATGGTAAAAGAGCAAAAGAAGTTCTATGAGCTCCTGAATTCGAGTCTCCTTAGACACTAATAGAGTGGCTATTAGGGCTTTTATCTGATTGATAATTCTAAAGCCTCGAAGAATTAGTTGAGTTGCAAGCATGTTTCCCTGAAGACCCTGATGAGTAAAAAAAAAACATAGCAAAAGTTAGTTTGTTTTTTCAACTTAAGTCTGAATGCAGCCAATGTTAATAAATTAAAATGTTCTATATTTGTCTGTTTTTTAACATGTATTAGACGATAAGATATAAGTCAAAAGTCAAAATATTTTACCTTTATTGAATACAAAAACATCTTAATTAATAATAATTTTTATTTGTTAACAATCCCTCTTTCAAATTTATATGATTCCAATATTTATAAAACCCTCGTACATTATATTATTTTTTTGTCTTTTTTAATTTTTTGTTATGATACATTTTTTAATAGTAAATTAAAACAATATAATAACATACGTAGTTAGCTTTAATTTATATGTAACATTTGTTTTATTTTGATTTCCATAATTTAATAATTTAAAATTGTTTAAAGCTTATAAAAAAATCATATAATATTTAATAAGGGTATATGTGTCAAAAATAATTTTAAGATATTTACGGTACATAAAAGAAAAAATTCAACACTTATAATTAGACGTGGAATAATAAAAAACAAATATATAATTTATACATCTAGACTGATACAATTAACAAATGCATTAAGCTCACATACAAAAACAAGCATAACCTAAGAATGTTTATTTGGTCAATTTTGGATTTTTTTTAAGCATGATACTATATATACTACATTTTTATACAATATTTTTCATATAATATGATGTGACAAAAGATAAATAATTGATTTTAAATTAAAAATAAATTTCACTCAATCATCTTTTATTACATCATGTTATATGAAAATATTATAGGTATAGTATTACTCTTTTTTTAAATAACAAAAATAATTTTCTAATAGTATTGGTAATGTTTTTTGGTCTTAGTCTCGTATCAATTCAAATTTAACTGAAATTATCCCAAAACTTCGATATTATATGTAGAGTAAATGACTTTTTTCCACCCAAGGTTTGCCTTAATAACATTTTTGCCTCCAAGAGTTTTAAAATACCACCTTCTCACCTAAAGTTAATATTCCGCTATTACCCAAAGTCGATTCTGACGATGAAAATTCTCTTAGTCACCACCATTTGAACATCCGATTTCTTCTTTACAAAACCCCTCTCACTTTGCAACTATTTCTCTCCGATTATCGACCATCGCGAAGCTAGAGTTTTTGGTTCTTAATTAATTTTCGACGACGAATATTCAATCGATCACAATGATTTGATCCACCGGCCTCCACTATATAAAACCCCTCTTATATTGGCTTTTGATAACTTGCCGAACGCCGGCTGAAAAAGTAAAGTGTATTTTGGATATTAATAGAATATAAACTTTGGGTGAGAAAGTGGTATTTTGAAATTTATTGGGTGAGAAACTTCTTTAAGCCAAACCTTGGGTGGAAAAAAGTAACACCCAGCCGCATTTGAGAATAAAAAGTAACACCCACTTTGTGAACTTTAACAAACTATCTTTGAGAATTGAATAATGCTTTTTATTCCAAGTTTTCATCTCAGATTTTACCTATCAAATGATATTTTATTGTTTTACCGGTATATATGAATTAAATGATCATGTTGCTATAACTTTTATCTTTGCTTTCGTTTATAGATACCCTCGGCCTCAAATATGGCGAAATGCGTGCAAAATCAGAAAATGGCTCCACAAGAGGCCCAAGAGACCAAAGCTGAAGGCCAGTTGAATCTCATCCCATTATCTATGGCCGAACATGCAGATCTTGAGTGGAATAATGATGTTTGATAGCAATGAAAAGTCTCAACAAAATTGTGACAACAATAAAAGTATATTGGGTGGATCTAATAAGAATAAAAAGCATGAACCCAATTTATAGTTTTGGCCATACTCTTACTACGTTTGTCCAATTACTTCGAATATAGATAACAAATTTAATGAAGGATAACGACATTTGCTTTTTGGCTCTTGATTGTGATTCAATTGTTTTAGTTTGATTACCTGCTTTGAAAGCTATGCCGTCTGGACCATATATTTATTAATCAAGTTGTTTTAAAATTTTTATATATGTGATATGTCTGCTTTTCTTGTATATATGTTGTGTGGTAGGTACGGGTACATATCATCATATTAATTATTTTGCTTTTCGAAATTAAAAAAAATGTATAATCCACACATCAAAATTATATCAACTTTTTTTTTTAATTAAAAAAATCATATAATTCATATATATGATTTATGTGAATCATTATTGAATGATTTAATGATAAAAAAAAAAAGAAATTTTATAAACTCTTAAATTTGAGTTTTTATAAACTCTAATAGGGGTGATTATTAAGAGACTTATCTGATAATTAACTTCAAAATCTTGATAAATTACTTGTGATTGACGCAAAATGGTGTGAACACTCCTGATGACAAAAAAAAAAAAAAAAAAAAAAGATTTATATGCGCATTGTTTATATGGTTAATAACTATCGTTATATAACAATTTTTTATTATTAATGTTCTAAATTTTTTTATCTTAAATAGTTTGGAATAAATATTATTAGAATTATTTTATAAATGAAATTGATGATCTATAAATCAATCGACATGACTGAAAGCCGACACTGAAAACGTGGCACTCTTTTATTTATCTTTACAAAAAGGTTAAGGAAGCACAAAATGTTGGGACCTACCATTATGATGTTATAAGATTAGAAAAATATTAAATAAAACTTAATTAATGACATGATTTGATTCATAATCCAAACAATTTTAAGAATTCAAAAAGTATATGCATTCTTATCTTATATTTAGTATTTTACTTTCATAAAGCATTCGAATAAGAATCTTTTGGAATAATCCCATCATGATTCAAGTACTCTCACTCATTTTCGGAAATTATAATTATCACAATATATTTTTCTTATATTAAGGATCAACAACATAACGCAGATTAAATTCGGACGGACCGGAGCATCGACTCCCACCATTTTATAATTTGTAAGGTACGGATAGATTTACGGGACGGTAAATCAGCGTTTCAATCCCACATAAAACGCTACACTTCCTCACTGACAGCCACGTGTACGCTAACAGTTGGCAGTCTCAGGTGAGAAGATAAAAATCGTTTTCAAAGAAAATAAAAATAAAAAACAAAAACACACCCGCATTAACACAGTTATAATCGTCCCCAGAGAGTCCTTGTCCTTCACTTCCACTTGGTCACTGCTTCAGAGTCCATTATAAAACATACACTCTCTCTGTTTTGTTTTTTTTTAAGTTTCGTTTTCAGTGTTTTTGTTTTCCGTATTTTTGGTCCACAGCTTTCTGTTCTTGTGAGCGGTGTCGTTTCATCACAATGACGGATACGACGGACGACATAGCGGAGGAGATTTCGTTCCAGAGCTTTGAAGATGATTGTAAACTGCTTGGAAATCTGTTAAACGATGTCTTGCAGAGAGAAGTTGGTTCTGGATTCATGGAAAAATTTGAACGGAACAGAGTCCTCGCTCAGGTTTATATTATTTATTTACTGAACGGAGCATGATTTTTCTTCTTATTTTCTGTTGAGTGATCGAGGTCACGATGCAGTAAACAGTGTTAGATTTGGATTTTTTTGAGTGCATGCTAATTTTTATTTATTTATTTTTGGAATTATTTATCTTATTTTTTAGTTGTGTGTTATTTTTTCCAGTTTTAATATTTTTCTTTTATAATTTCGTTTGGTTACTTAGAAAGTATAGGAAAAATAACAGAAGGATATATCGGTTTCGTATCTTTTTTAGCTGTTTTTTTTCCTGTTCCATAATATTTTAATATTGTGTTATAATTTTGTAACAGAGTGTTTTTGAAACTTTTTTTTAAAATATTTTGTTAAAATACAGGTTAATGCTTTATAATAATAAAAAAGTTACTTAAGAGTGAAGCATTCGTGTTTTCTGATGAAGCTCGTAATAGGTGCTTTCTAGGAAGCGGTTTTGCATATTTTTCTAGAAATACTTTCGCGCTTAGAAATTGTTAGTTGGTAGATCATAAAAATTAAAGGTACATGCATAATAGTTTTTATTATTGTTTTTTTTCATTGTTGTGATAAGATTTTCTTGTGGTTTCTGTCTGTTTGTTTGCTGAGAAATCACTTAAAAGTATTGGAACTGAACAAAAGTAGGCGTTTTATAATGTTTTTGTTACAAAGCTGAAATGTAGTTTATAATTGTTTTAGGCCCGTGGATTTTTTCTTTTTGTTATAAATAATTTCTGAAACTCCTCTTGATTAGTCTAGATTACAGAGGATAGATATGTTACCATTTCAACCTTTTTTTTTTTTTTTTTTAGCATTATCCTCGTTATTTGATACTGAGAAGTAAATGATATTTATTTTTTATAGAGTGCTTGTAATATGCGGTTGGCGGGGATTGAGGATTCGGCAGAGCTGCTTGAAAAGCAGCTTGCATTGGAGATATCAAAGATGACATTAGAGGAAGCACTGTTACTTGCTCGTGCATTCAGTCATTACCTCAATCTTATGGGAATAGCTGAGACTCATCACAGGTAAGTTGTTTTTATTATCTTTTGTTTGATCACTTAGTTTAAAAAATCCTGGACAACAATGTTGTTTTGAGGATGCAAACGTTGAAATTGTTTATAGTGTGTTGCTTTCTGTGGTTCCATTCATTGTGTAAGTAATAACAAGGAATGTGGATTTTTTTATTTATTAATATTTTTTAAATATGAAAGCATGGATTTAGACGTGCTTTTGTTTGCAAGCTAGAGAGAAGGAATGAAAAGATTTAAGTCATGAGCGTTTCGCTATTTTTTTCCCTTGGAGCATTTGGCAAATTAGTTCAGTGTAAAGTTTTTGTGAGCTCCAGTCATTTTTGGGTGAAATCCTACTAAAACATGTTTAGCAACCTACTTGCAGATGTTTTATTTCCTTGTAATTTATATAAATACTGGACTAATCTTTCTAGCAAGGTCCCGAGCAATTTAGAAGTTCACATTCTCTCTCTTTACTTTTTAAGGTCTATGATCTACTTTCAGTTTTAATTTCAAATACTCTTTATATCGATTTTATGGATAAATTATACATTTTGCAGGGTTCGTAAATCACGAAATGCTGTAAATTTGTCAAAATCTTGTGATGACATTTTCAGTAAGCTAGTGCAAGGTGGGATTTCTCCAGATGACCTTTATAACACCGTTTGCAAGCAGGTTTCTTGGCGCCCTGGATTCTCATTTTCTTCAATGCTTCATTTGGTTGCTTAGATGAACAATTAGAAAAGTGAATAATGTTTTTGACTGTATAACTTTTATTTTTCTGGTTTTGGAAAAATGTGAATCTGACCTCAGCAGAGCCAAAATTTTAATATGATGGTTAGTTGAGTAGAGATTCTCCAGAGTCAAATTAATATCTCGTTCTCTTTACCAGATTTTCCACCCAGCAACCAAATTGAGCATAATTTTATTGAAAGTTTCTAATTTTTCAGTTTCCTGTACTAAAGTTTTGTTGCTGTAGGAGGTTGAAATTGTTCTTACTGCACATCCCACCCAAATCAATCGACGTACCTTACAATATAAACACATTAGAATTGCTGTAAGTTGTTAAGGGCTTTCATTTTTCTTTTTATGTTGAAATTTGATATTTTTGACTGTTGTGTAAATACTAAGTCTCTGAATATGAGCCTGGCTTTTCTTGCAGCATCTTTTAGATTATAATGATCGACCTGATCTTTGTCATGAAGATCGAGAATTGCTAATTGAAGATCTGGTATCCTTTCTGTACCAAAACATTTCACTCCTCTATTTAAAAGCCTCAATAGACCATTTTCTTATGCTACATTTTTAGTAGAGGGGGCATCTTTGTATGCTGATGTGGAAGTATTCATAGCATCTTTGTATGACCTGTAATTCATTCTGGCTTTTGTAGGTGAGGGAGATAACTTCAATATGGCAGACAGATGAGCTAAGAAGACATAGACCTACACCAGTAGAAGAAGCAAGGGCTGGTAAACTACTTGAGTGATGGATATGTCACAATAATGCACACTTTGTTTCTATGTAAAATTGATATCATAGACGGGGTATACTAATTGTTTATTTTAATATCCTAGGCTTGAACATTGTGGAGCAGACTCTTTGGAAAGCTGTTCCAGATTATCTGCGACGGGTCAACAATGCTTTAAAAAAGGTTCAGTGTCAGTTTTTCTCAGTAAAAACAGTGTTCCTTGCCATTCATGTTCTCATATTGTTTTTGTTCATTCAGCATACAGGAAAGCGTCTTCCTTTAACTTGCACTCCAATAAAATTTGGGTCTTGGATGGGAGGTGATAGAGATGGAAATCCAAATGTGACAGCAAAGGTGAGGCTTTCTCAATTGTCTGATCCATTGCGAATTTTCTGTGGTTATATGGTCTATGACTTTGCTGTTATATGTATCATCATTCATGGGCTTATCACACCATGTTACAGTGCTATTAGATGAAGAGTTAGTGGTGGTATCTTACTTCCACTAAACTGGGAAAAAAGGAAAAAATATAGTTCGTATATTTGATTATCCTACCATGCTGCAGTGATTTCTATGAATAAACATTAGTGTGTGAACTGAAAGCATCCTTAATTCAAATAATTTGTTCTATTTTTGCTCTTTTTTCCCATTAGTTACTAGATATTTAATCTTATTTTTTTAAAAGGATATGAAGAAAATTAATGAACAATTTCAAGTGTATGCTTTATTACTTTTAACCATCACCATTCAGTGTGTCATGTTTATTTGCAGCCTTTGAACTTTAGTATTTTTTCTTTTTTGACAAGCTAATCTTGAATTTTTATTCTTTTTTATTTTTTTCATTTTCTGTTTTTCCCCCTAAATGAAATAGAAAACCATGTGTGTGTGTGCAAAATATCAGTACACTATTTAACAGAATCATACAAATGTTATGTTTTAATTATGTTTATGAAAATTCATAGGATACAGGAGGTTTCTTCACTATTTCAGTGTTATTCACAAAAAATTTCTTTTCCCATACAGTTCATTCATGAATGAGACAAAAACTCAGCTGTTTTTTTTTTACCTATTGATATGCTGTAAATCATTGTTATCAGTCGATTGACAAATAGTTATTCTTAATAATGTGCTGTCATGCATGGAGTGTCACCAATGGACTTTTTGATTGTTTCAGGTCACAAGGGATGTTTCACTTTTATCTAGGTGGATGGCCATTGACCTCTACATTCGGGAAGTTGATAGTCTCAGATTTGAGTTATCCATGAACCAATGCAGTGACAGGTTGTTGAGAGTGGCACATGAAGTTCTTGAAAAAGGTTAGGGTCATTTGTCATTTTAAGTTTTTCTGAAGCTCTGGTGGAAAGCTTTTGCAAATTATGGTTATTTGATTTAGTCATTTTATGCCAATTGATGGCTATTATTTTAGTCTTTGTATTTTTGTATTTAAGAGTTAATTTTGTTCTAGTTATTTTAAACTTTATTTCCTTAGAATTATGTTTCCATTAGGGTTTGGATCCAAAGCCTATAAGCAGGGCTTATTTTACACGAAAAATTAGTTGTATTTTGAGCTCTGTCTAAGTCTTCATCTAAATTTCTTTTCTGTCTTCTAATTTTTCTCCTATATTCTTTTTTCCCTTTCTATTATTCTATCTGTCTTCTCAACTTCTCTATTCTCTATATCTACTCCTCTATCAATAATATCTATTCTTGAGTGAATAGTTTTTAGAGCTTAAATACTCAACATAGGCTCAGCATTATCCAAAACAACGATATTAAAGTTTGAGCCGTGGAGTCCCTTCATCTGCTACTTTTGTAGACTTGAAAGGTGGCTACGACTTGTACCCATTATGAAATTTTTGTTTTTCAGAGTGTTTAAGTATGTTTAAATGACCTGAGTGTAGTGCTGAGGAATTTCAATATGCCGTTTTCTAATATGTGAAGATTAGACCCCTTTACTTTTGCAAAACTCTTACTGCAATGTGTATTGATAGTTGGTTAAAATCTTTTCAGAAACTTCATCAGAGGATCGACATGAGGGTTGGAATCAAGCTTTTAGCAGAATTCAATTGAAGCATCACAGCCAGCAGGCTCCATCGCTTCCTACTCAACTTCCTGCCAGGGCTGATCTACCCTCCTGCACTGGTAAGGAAAACTGGAGTCGGGATATTTTCTGCCAGAAATGATTTAATTTTGAATCTTTGATGAATGTAGGGATTTTTTTAGCTCTTGATTATTGTTTTCTTTGAAATCCTTGTTCAATTCATGAAAAGTTGACCAACTCAGTGACGGTATTAGCCTTGTCAAATCATAATGTTCTCCATCGTCGGACTATAACAGAATTCACAGGTTATGAAACCATTTGAAATTTAAGTGAGGATTTATAATGTTTTAAACATATGCAACATTTTTATATTGTCTTCTTCTATGCATGCCATTCACAATTATGGCTCTTTTCGTATTTTTTTGGTAGTTATATGACCATGCTTTAGGTAAGCTATTTCTTTTATTAGCCATCCAATGTAATTTATAATCTGTACCCAAATGAGTAATAATTTCTTGTTAAACTTCCCCCTTATGTAGAATGTAATAATGGTGGATCTCACTATCCCAAACTAGATGTTCCTGGGACTGATTACATGCCACTGAATTGTCAGGTAAGGCGTGATTTTTTGTTTGCAATGTTGGCTTCATTGATAATAATTTCATATATATATATATATATATATATATATACCTTTTGGTTTCTTTCAAATAATCTAGGACGGTCAGGACTCTGTAAGCCCAGAATCTTCACTGGGCAAATCCTTTCCAAATGGAAGCATTGCAAATTCTACTGGTTCTCAGTCAGCTGGGTTGTCACACAATTCTTCTTTCAACTCTGTTCCTCTACTTGCTCAAAGGAAACTATATGCAGAATCTCAGATAGGAAGGTCCAGCTTCCAGAAGCTTCTGGAGCCAAGGCTATCTCAACGTCCTGGAATTGCTCCTTATAGAATTGTTCTTGGAAATGTGAAGGAAAAGGTAAGAATTATGGGGCAAGTTGATTTCAAAAGGATTTAAGTTTCCTCATAGGAAATGTGTGATCCCTTTTCTTAGTATTACTACAAGAGTAGTCAACAAGATTTTTGTGCGCTTGTTTTAATTGTGGGCTAAGAAATATGTAACATATTTCCATAGCTTCTTCTTGTTTTACATATCGGATTTTAGATATAAGAGGTTCTTCTTTATACAAAAAAGCTTGCTTGTTGCATGTAAAAGGACCCATACATTAGGACATGGCTTTTTATTAAAAGGATTATCATTTTAGGGTTTGTCTGGATGCATCTATAATTGTATGAAACTCTTTACCCAATACTTCTTGCTATGATTATCAATTATGATTGTCATATTGTCAAGTAAATAGATTTTTGTTTTTGCACGATTTAGCTTATGAAGACACGAAGACGCTTGGAACTTCTTCTTGAGGATCTTCCTTGTGAATATGATTCCTGGGATTACTATGAAACAATGGATCAACTTTTGGAACCACTACTTATGTGCCATGATTCTCTGGTAACATTTTACCTTATTATTTTTTGAATTTTTTAATGCTGTAATAAAAAAAATCCCAAAGAAAAAGTGAAAGGATAAACAAGATCGGAATATCCATTTATGGTGCACTTATTATCTATTGATGCAAACTTACAGCAATCATGTGGATCTGGTGTTCTGGCTGATGGTCGGCTGGCTGATCTTATTCGAAGAGTTGTTACATTTGGAATGGTGTTAATGAAACTTGACTTGCGTCAGGTGCAGTCTCTTAAGATTTTCTTCTTCAACTTACTTGTGGAAACTGCTTTAACTGAATCTTTTTAATGTACAGGAATCTGGTAGACATGCTGAAACACTTGATGCAATTACAAGATATTTGGATATGGGTACGTATAGTGAGTGGGATGAAGAAAAGAAACTAGAATTTTTGACAAGAGAGCTAAAAGGGAAGCGGCCTCTAGTTCCTCCTACAATTGAGGTAAGGTGTTTAGAGCACTCCAGTGATCACTGAGCCTACAAGTCAGAAACTTTTGGAATTTTCATTGGATAAATATCTTTTTTTTTGTTTCAAGGATTCAGTTAAAAAGTTAATGAGAATTTTGCAAATGTTGGTTTCTCATTATCTTTATAGGATCTTAATAATTTGAACAGCGTGGCACACTCGTGCCCCTCTGTCAGCCACCAGATTTGAACCAAATAGCATGGTTGGTTTTTCTTTATAAGAGATGATATTATTCAAAGTAGGTATTAAATACAGTTATTTACATTTTAAGGGACAATATATTCTTGGTGGTATCTCTTCTGTACGCCCAAGTGGTTTGTGTTTAAACATTCCTTTTGTATTCTTACCCTTTTTTTCTCCCCATCATTTGCTTTTAATAAATTTGTTCCCCTCTGGTATGGTCTTTTCAGGTTGCTCCTGATGTTAAAGAAGTTTTGGATACCTTCCGTGTTGCTGCTGAGCTAGGGAGTGATTCACTTGGGGCTTATGTCATTTCTATGGCTTCAAATGTGTGGTTAACTACTATTAATTAGTTTTGTAAATCATTTCATAATGTGCAATCAAAGGTAGATCTTGTTTGGATACTACATGTACAGAGTAAACAATAAAGTTACCTGTGCTTGTTCTTTGGCAGGCAAGTGATGTCCTGGCTGTGGAGCTTTTGCAGAAAGATGCTCGACTTGCTGTTAGTGGGGAGCTAGGGAGACCGTGTCCTGGTGGAACGTAAGTTTTCATCTCTTGTTTAATATTTTTCTCATAAAATTTGTGACATGGGATTTGTTTTCTTTTCATGGTTATTGAAACATATGTATCACATGTAGACATCAGATAAATCCAGTTTATTTTATATAGTGTTTAAATTATATATATATATATAATCCTTGTGGCATTTGAAGCTTTTGATGCATGGGGAGATAAATTTGGGATTTTTCGGAGATACTATTTTCATTTTGTTTTGGGAATCATCGAAGTATCCAAACCCCTTTCCATTGTTACTGAGGTCATATCCAGGGCTTTAAAGCCACTTCTCACTTATTGTAAAAGGGAAAAGTGCTGTGAGATCAGGAATGCTGTTGACATCTATTATCATGTTACACACATGTATGCACACACACATAAATAATCACTTGTGTATATAATGAGCATTGATGGAACCGCAGAGGACTGTCTAAATTGATTATTTTGTGCTGATAAGCTCATAGGAGCAATACCATTATGATTGACATTTGCATATTTTGTTTTACAACAGAATTATGTCTTTATCTTGCATTAATGGAAACTCTGAAATTGTTTGAATTTTGAAATCCTAAATAGCCTTCACCTTCATCCTCAGCCTCTCTCTCACTCTCTCTCGGTTGGCTGCTCCCTATTTTTGATCATAGATCTGTGTGTGTGTGTGCTTGAGTTTTCTGTTAGAAGCTATTTTCACTGGAACTTAGAGTTTGCTCTCCAGTCATTTATCCAATAGGTTATGTTTGACTGTCCTAAACATGTTTTTAAGAAGAAAGAATTACGAATATTTAACTGATTTATATACATCATGCAATAGGTTGCGTGTGGTTCCTCTGTTTGAAACTGTGAAGGACTTGAGAGAAGCGGGTTCAGTGATCAGGAAATTGTTATCAATCGATTGGTACAGGGAGCACATTCTAAAGAATCATAATGGGCATCAAGAGGTATGCATTATGTAAAGCAATTTTCTGGATTGATTTTATTTAAGATCCCATGGATCTTGCGGAGGTCATATAGTTACTCTGTACAGGTTATGGTTGGATATTCTGATTCTGGTAAAGATGCTGGTCGCTTCACCGCTGCATGGGAACTTTACAAAGCCCAGGAGGATGTTGTGGCTGCATGCAATGAGTATGGCATCAAAGTTACTTTGTTCCATGGGCGAGGAGGGAGTATTGGTCGTGGTGGTGGCCCTACATATCTTGCCATTCAATCCCAACCACCTGGCTCTGTAATGGTGAGTTTTTTATATAATTTAAATCATGGAACTGTCATAATATCATTTTTTCCTTTTGGTCTATTTCATTTGAAAACGAATTTTCTCATTGGAAACAATAATGAGATTTCTTGATTTTACCTTCACATTTGATACTGTAATTGTCGAATATGTTTTATGTAAACTCGGCCAGTTTGCTCATTTCATTTTAAAATGCTACTGCTACTTTTCAAACTTGAGACTATTGATATCAGTGAATTTCTAACCATTTGATTGTCCTAATAATGGGTCATGTATATTAAAACTTTGGATTTCTGCTAATTCTAGTTTAAAACCGTCTTAGTCATCATCAACTTTCATAATTGAGGTCTAGGAAACTCAAAAGTCTCAAACTTAGAAGCCCTCATTGAGTTTTCTGGACTTACAACTTATTGTAAGAAAGCAAAGCAAACACTTTTAGAGCTTAAATTATGTTGGGAATGAAATATAATAACAGTCTCTTCAATCTGTAACTTTGATGCTATATTGAATTGGCAGGGAACACTTCGGTCAACTGAACAAGGGGAGATGGTGCAGGCAAAGTTTGGGTTGCCAAACACAGCTGTTAGACAGCTAGAGATATATACAACTGCTGTGCTGCTTGCAACCCTGCGACCACCTCAACCACCTCGAGAAGAAAAATGGCGAAATCTCATGGAGGAGATCTCAAATATTAGTTGTCAAAATTACCGGAACACAGTCTATGAAAACCCTGAATTTCTTGCCTACTTCCATGAGGCTACACCTGAGGCTGAGCTTGGCTTCCTTAACATAGGAAGCCGCCCTACTAGAAGAAAAAGTTCAACAGGAATTGGCCATCTCCGTGCCATTCCATGGGTATTTGCATGGACCCAAACCAGATTTGTTCTTCCAGCTTGGCTTGGAGTTGGAGCAGGGTTAAAAGGTGTTTGCGAGAAGGGACATACTGAAGACTTGAAAGCAATGTACAGTGAGTGGCCTTTCTTTCAATCTACCATAGATCTTATAGAGATGGTTTTAGGAAAGGCAGATATTCCTATAGCCAAGCACTATGATGAAGTGCTCGTTTCAGAGAGCAGGCAAGAGCTTGGTGCTGAACTGAGGAGGGAGCTCCTAGAAACAGAGAAGTATGTGTTGGTGGTTAGTGGGCATGAGATATTGTCTGAGAATAATCGCAGTTTGAGGAGGCTGATTGAGAACAGGCTCCCTTATCTCAACCCAATCAACGTGTTGCAAGTGGAAATACTGAAGAGGTTGAGACGTGATGACGATAATCATAAACTCAGAGATGCATTACTTATCAGTATAAACGGCATAGCTGCTGGGATGAGGAATACAGGTTAACTGGTTTAAGTGAAATCTCTTCACGTCTACTGGTTGTACTTTCAAGAGAGCAAATTAGACTCTGCTTCTATATATCTGGCTTAGTTATCATTTGATACAACTGAACTCGGAGAGATTAGCTTTTGTGGATAAGATATTAAATTAGTTTACAGTTTTGGTGGGATTTTTCTAAGCTACTTCATTTACTCTTGAACGGTATTTGTTTTGTGTAATATATGGACTTGGTTGTGAGATAATACTTAAGAATTCAGGTGTTGTTTAGAAAAAAAAAAAAAAATCTATTTACTTGTGTGTATTATATTGTGGGGGGGTGTTTTAGTGGTTAAGAAACTAATTCACCTCGGGACAAGCTAAAATTGTTCATTCAACGTGATTGCCGTTGGGTAAGCTTGCAATTGCAATATCCAATAGGCCATTCCGAAAGCCCATTGATTGATTGTTGCATCATATCATTCAGCATGGACTCCTGAGTACATGTATTGCTATTTCCAAGCCCACCTCTAGCAAGTTAACATTAATTCAATTAACCCATAACATGTCTTAAATAAGTGGCATTTTCGGTTCGATTGTACTCAAACACTGCTGAGCTTTGCTACATTTTCAAATGCTCCGTACGAGCATTGTCGAGGGTTGTCCACTTAAAAGCATATCAACATATATAGCTCTAGCCTCTGGTCTGCTGCACATGATTTTTCGCGAATTTGTAAGAGATAAATGTATAGTACCCTTTGCTAGTTAGATATTAATGTGTTTTAAGAGGATATTCTTGTAATGTTCACCACACAAGGACTCTGATCACATCCATCCAGTTGCTTATTTCATTATTTTTTTTATTTTATTTTAATTTTTTCACCATTAAGCTTTTTGACAAGATGCCTATTGTCTTTAAAGGAGATACCATGTCAGAGGTAATGGAGGTGATGTTTAATCAACATGTTTTGCATACAAACCACAATTGAAGCTTCTTAGTGGTGTCCAGCTTTATTTTATTTTGAATGTTGATCCAAGCTACGTACCTCTCTCAGTTCACTTTCATGGTGATCACGCAAAGCAAGCTATTGCTAGCTATCTTGTACTAGGGTGTCTTTTACGTGTTGTTGAGTGGGAAGTCACTTGGTTTTTCCTTTCTATCAGAATCTGAATTCCATTACCCCTCATTTTTAGGTCTAAATGCATGATTGAACTTATATAAATTTATATTTATATATACTCTATATTTGTTCAGTGCAAACCAGCCTAAATTTTAAAGCTTATTTGTACGACTAAAACATGATCATATTCATAATGCATATATCTTTGTATACCAAGAATTTATTCTTCTAGGGGAAACTCTGAATAATTCTATTTCTTGCCGACAATGCCTGTTCAAGAACATTTATTTTTGTAATCATAAAAGCCTGTATTGTTAGCTACTTAATGTTGTATCATCACGTTAACTAGGTTCTTTTGGTTATTCCGGTTATGGAAATGACATTAAACTTGAACTTCTGAATTCCAATTAATTAACTTGAGCACCACATGATCTCTACGTTTAACTATATATATCTCAATGATCCAACCTTTGAATTTTGATTTATAGTAAGGGTTTTTGAGACGATTAAACGACTTTTTTCCACCTAAATAATGGCTTAATGACACTTTCCCATCCATCGACTTTTAAAATATTGTTTTATTATCCAAATTTATATTCTGTTTCCGATTCCGGCATTGTTGCGATCCCACACCATCACAATTCGTTTTCCTGATTACTACTCACCAAAACCCCTCAAACCCTACTCCCACTGATCCCGTCAATCACCGACAATTGAGCGATTAGGGTTTACGAAACAGTTCCTCCCAAGTCAAATTTCAATCAATCCTAACCACCAAAATCCAACATTCCACCAGCAAAAGACTCATCGGTCTCTCCTCTTCAAAAACCCCAACAGCCTAGACCTAATTTGCTTTTTATTCACCATCGGAATATAAATTTTGATAGCAAAATGGTATTCTAAAAATCTATAGGTGGGAAAGTGTTATTAAACCATTATTTGAGTGAGAAAAATTCATTAACTCTTTTTGAGACATATAACTTTTAAACAATTAAGTGCCAGTTCGTTTGTCCATTCATAATAATATATCTTCCTAGTTATGTTAATGCAAATTAACGGAAATAAATTAAAGTGTGGATGATATATGCTTCAAAAAGTGGGGCATAATTCGCGGCCGCTTTTATTAAAAAAAAAAAAAAAAAAGAATTTAATTCACAAGCTTACCAAACTGAAACATTGTTGCTAAGACATACAAATCAGCTTTAGACAAAAATTCAGGAACGCTTATTCCAACAACTAAGCTCCTACGCGGGGGGAGCTTATTGCAATCAAATAAATAAATAAATAAATTGTCAAATTGACGTGCAAATTATCAGGAGAATCAATTTTAGATATAAAGTGGAGCTTAGTTTATAAAATTTCAAAAGGCTAAGTACTAGCTAGCTAGTTGCCTTAATTACACAAGTTGAAGAGATGATAGTGATATAAGCGACGGATGTTCAATCTCAAATGCTCTCAGTGGAAATCTTTTGTTGTCTTTCAAGTTTCAATGGATTCCGGACACAATTAGTATTTGTATGGCCACAGTGTTTATATATGTTTCCCGAATACTCTATCTTGGATAATACCACTATACTACTCTTCCTTAACACAAACGTCACCAAACCACTGCCCTTAATTTCCATTGATGCTGCAGGCAGCGCCTGTGAACACGCAAGTTAATCAAATCTCCTTTGTACCCTTTTTCAGATCTGCAACTTGTTGTAATTGGTTCATATGATATGGGTATCTCAAAATACATACTAAAATCAATTCCAGCAACCAGTTATCAGCCAGAGAGTAACACGTGTTGGGTTATCAAGGCAAAACTTAGTTTGTTAATGTTTTTTCTGGGTAATTAGGCTTGGAATAGATAGAGAAAAGAATGTACAATGAGGCCTCTAAAAGGCTGTCAGCCTACCGCAGGACAAACCCTTAGGATCGGAACAAAAACAAGAGCCTAAAAAAGCCAAGAGAGCAATACAAAATCTCAAACAACCAATGCACATTTTACCACAGGACAACTCTTGGGAAATGGCAGAAATAAAAGCCTTTAGACTAAACAAAAAAGAAACACCTGTTCCTACCACAGGACATGCTTTGGGTTAGGAAAAAAGCACACACGAAAATGTACAAGCAAGGAAGGCACCAAAACTTACCTTAGGACAAGCCCTGGGTTAGGAGAAAAGCACACGTGAAAATGAACAAGCAAGGAAGCCATCAAAACCTACCTCAGGACAAGCCTAGGTTAGAAAAAAATAAAAATAAAAAATCACCCCACGCACCTGCTAATGGGCAGCGTGGGTGATTTGTTTTTTTTTTTTTTTTTTAATCTAACATGAAATAATGATTAAAATAAGACTTAGTTTAGGGGATTTGGGTTTGAGTTTGGGTGTTTTTTAATCTAACATGAAATAATGACACATACTAATTATTGATCTTCCAGCTTAATTAATTATCTCTAAACTAATTTTAAAACTGGACTATTTGTGCATGATTAAAGTAAGACTTCAATATATGTTCACATCTCAACCCATATTTATCACTATCTTTGACCTTAATTATTAATTGATTTACAAAGCATCAAAGTGTTTAAATATTAATTTCCACCTACATCCATCAGCAACTATAAATGTTTAAAATTATATAAAATAGAAAGGTGGTACAAAGGTGGCAAAATAGGCAGGAGCATGGGCCAAGAGGGGTATGATATTAATGAGTAAAGTTAGTGGAATTTTAAGGCCAAAATATATATTACTTAACCATATAATTAAACGTGTATTAATTAATCACCATTACATGGGAATCAATGTATATATCATATATGAGGGGGTGCTTAGGAGTCATTTTTTTTTGTTATTTTTAGAGTTAATGACTTTTTCCCACCTCAATAATGGCATAATGATACTTTTTCACCTATAGACTTTTAAAATACCATTTTACTATCCAAATTTATATTCTAATGGCAAACAAAGAGCAAACTTAGTCCAAACTGTTGGGATTTTTGAAGAGAGTGGGCTGATGAGTCTTTTGATGGTAGAAGGTTGAATTTAGTGGTTGAGATTGATCAGAATTTGACTTGGAATAAATGGTTGCGCAAATCCTAATCACTTAATTGTCGGTGATTGGCAGAGTTGACAGGAGTAGGGTTTGAGATGTTTCAATGAGTGATAATCAGGAAAAAGAATGATAGTGATGTGAGATCGCAATAATGCTAGAATTGAAAATGGAACATAAATATGGATAATAAAATTGTATTTTAAAAATTTATGAGTGAAAAATGTCATTAAGTTATTATTTGGGTGGGAAAACGTTGTTTACCCTTATTTCTATTATGAGATCCTGGACTTGCCACATCACCAAATGACTTTATTTTGAACTTCAAAAGTCAATTTTAACAGTCATTACTCCTAGCTCCTTAATTTCTTGCTTTACTTTTATTTAAAATAATTAATATATGAATTATTTTACTTTTACGAAGTCTGCGTTTTTGTTTAGAAACAGATGTGGGAAAGTTAGACGCAATGATGGATGCAACATTATTTCTTTGGCCATGTCTAAACTGTCTATTATATGGACAAAAAAAAAAAAAAAAAGAAATATTATATGTAGGTGGACTAAGGCCAAATCCTCAATGTTACCAAATCCTTTCCCACAAGTCAAGACACTACTTATACATCCTTTTAGTTGGTGACATGTACACCTTTCGTTTTTATATTTCCATATCAGAACATCGTACTATATATAATTATATGTGTGTGTGTGGCATTTTATAATATGGTTTGACCCTTTGAGGAGTTGACATCGACCATATTTCATTCAGAATGTGTCAAATTAATTAACACTTGAAGTAATTGGCACTAATGGAGATTGTAATCAAGGACAAGTGGTGCGTATAAATTGGGGCTAGCCACGAACCATATTAATTTTCACATTAGATAAACTTACTACTTGTGTGAAGGTTATATATTTGACAACAATCTCATTTTTCTCATTATAACCAACTTATCACAGAGTTCGAAGTGGGACGTACGTGAATAATGCTTATAATCATAACACGTTTGAGGAATTTTATTTGTTTCTTGATATCAACTTTCCCTGAGTGTTTTTTTTTTTTTTTTTTTTTTTTTTTTTTTTTTTTTTTACAGGTAGTGTCCGGATCAGTTTACACACACCTTAATTAATCTATTAGGATCTTGGAATTATCGATTGGGT